CAGAGTGAGACTCCAACTCAAAAAAAAAAAAAAATTAACTGGGCGCAGTGCCTCGCACCGTAGCCCCAGCTACTCAGAAGGCTGAGGCAGAAGGAATGCCTGAGCACAGCAGGTTGAGGTTGTGGTAGTTGTGACTGTGCCATTGAACTCCATTCCTGCATTTTGGAATAATTTCAGATTTACAAAAAAGTTGCAAAGAGTCCAGAAAGTTACCATATGACCCTCACCCAGTTTGCAGTGCTGTGGTACTTTTGTCAACACTAAGAAACCAACATGAGTATGTTGTTATTAACTAACTCCTGGACTTTATTTGGATTTCATCAATTTGTCTACTAATATCCCTCCACTAGCCGGGCTCGGTGGCTCAGCCTGTAATCCCACGCCTTTGGGAGGCTGAGGTGAGTGGATTGCCTGAGCCCGCGGGTTCGAGACCCACCTGGGCAGCAAGACCTCATCTCTACAATAAATCAAAAAATTAGCCGGGCGTGGTAGCGCACGCCTGTAATTCCGGCTACCCGGAAGGCTGAGGCAGAAGGATCGCCGGAGCCCAGCAGGTAGAGGCTGCGGTGGCCGGGAGCGGCCACTGCACGCCAGTCTCGGCGACAGTGAGACTCCAACTCAAAAAAAAGAAAAAGAAAAAGAAAAAAAAATCCCTGCACTTTGGGAGGCCACGTCTCCTTAGTTTACTCTGATCTAGGATAGTTTCTCAATCTTTTCTTGTTTTTTATGACCTTGACAGTTTTAGGGAGTACTGAGTCAGATATTTTGTAAAATATTCCTTAGTTTAGACTTGTCTGATTTTTTTCCCCCATGATTAGACTGTGATTATGGGTTTTGGGGAATAACACCACATAAATAAAGTGTCCTCATCACATCATATCACGGGTAGATGATAGCAACCTGACTTGTTGCTGGTGTTGTTGGCTTTTATCACTTGATCAGTATTTGCCAGGTTTCTCCACTGTAAAATTATGATTTTTCCCTTTCCATACTCTTTTTAGAAGTGAGTCACTACTTCCAGCCCACTCTCAAGGGGAGGGAGAATTAACTATCTGTCCATATTATTTGGAATTCTTCTGCAAGAAGGATTTGTTCCTTCTCCAATTTATTTATATCAATATGGACATATTTTTACTTTATTACTTTGTTGCCCAGGCTGGAGTCCAGTGGCACAATCATAAGCCATCCTTCTGCCTCAGCCTCCTGAGTAGCTAGAACTACAGGTGCGGACAACCATACCCAGCTAGTTATTTTTTACTTTTTGTAGAGTTAAGGTTTCATTATATTGCCCAGGCTGATCTTGAACTCCTGGCCTCACACAGTCCTCCCATCTTGGCCTCCCAAACTGCTGTGATTATAGGCATGAGCCGCTGCACCCAGTCCATATTTTTACTTTATACTTTCACTTATAATTCAATTTTACCGTATTTTGTTGCTCAACACTTTGTTTCCTTTTCACATTAAGGTTTATGGTTAATCTATAATTTTGTATATGGTGTGAAGTACAGGGTAAGCTTCATTTTTCTCCATACAGAGAGCTAATTACCTCAGGTTCATTTTTTGAAATGACCATCCCTTCTCCAAGGAATTGTAATGGAGAGTTTGTCATAAATCAAGTGTGTGGTTCTATTTCTGGACTCTATTCTGTTCCATTGACCTCTTTGTCTATTTTTTTTTTTTTTTTTTGAGTTGGAGTCTCACTCTGGCACCCAGACTGGACTGGGCTCCAGCGATCCTTCCACCTCAGTCTTCCAAGGAGCCCGAACTACAGGCGCGCGCTACCACGCCCAGCTAGTTTTTTATTTATTGTAGACTCTGTCTATTCTTGCACCAATACCGCCTTTTATTATTTCTGTATCTTTATAAAACTTCAGTTTCTGGTAGTGATAAGTCTCCAACTTATTTTTATTCAGGACTTTCCTTGCTATTCTGAATTTTTTGCATCCATAGTTTTAAAATCAGATTTCAAATTTCT